ATAAAAACTAAAGTCAAAATTCCTTAGTCCTCCTCACTACCTGCACTGTTCTCCAAACACATAACCACCTTTTTTCATAATTGTATTATGTCCTGCACTATCTTGTTTCAGCGTTGTTGATTGTTTCCTATAAAATATCCGTTCTCCCTTGCTCCCTTTCTTTCCCCTCTCAAAATTCTGCTTACTCTGTAAGCCTCATTTCAGATTTTCCCTTGAAGCCTTTTCAGATCCTTCAGATGAACAGTGAGTCACCCCTTTTCGTGCGTTGTCACACTACTTCCCTTGTATTTCTATTATACATGTATATATTCACATTCTGTCTTATAGTAGAATTAGCCCTATAGTTGTGAGATAATCCCTCTAAGAATATAGCTATCACTGCTAAGCACATAATGGATGTTCAGTAAATGTCGAACAAATATCTTAATGTTTTCATTTTACAGTATATCATTGTCCTAGTCATGTTTCAGTTTCACACAGCTCCATATATCAAAATCAGTACATTTATAAAGCATGATTCAACCTAAAATGTTAGTGTACTTAGGCTTTATTAGACCAAAGGAAATACTTTGTCACATTTAAGAAATTACTTTCTCATTCTCTGCTGTTCATAGTGGGATTGTGTTGGAAACTAAAAAGTATAATTCCATGTATTTTAACAAGATCTATATAAAGAATTTCTGTTAGTAATTTGTACAAATACAAAACCAATTTTCTTCCGTATCAAATAGTTTTTAATATCAATGCCCACTTTAGAGCTATAGTGAAAGTTAATGGTATAAGGATGATAATGTGTCCAACTGTGGAAGAAATTCAAGTCCTTCTCCAAATAACAGTGTCATATGCCACAACATATAAAAGCTAACCATGGATGAAAAGCGATACCTACCAAAAATAGTAAATCATTGGCTCATTAAAGTCCAAGGATTTTTAAAGCCTATGAGATATAAATTTTTTTAATTGTGGGAAAATATAAATGTACTATCTTAATATTCTTAAATGTACAGTACAGTAGTGTTAAGTACATTTATATTGTTGTACAACCAATCTCCAGAACTCTTTATCTTGTAAAACTGAAACTCTGCACACTAAATAATGCTTATGCCCTCTTCCTTCAGCCCCTGGCAGTTATCATTCTACTTTCTGTCTCTATCATTTTGACTACTTATAGGTACCTTACATAAGTGGACTCATACAGTGTTTGTATTTTTGTGATTGGCTCATTTCACCTAGCATAATGTTCTCAGAGTTCATCCATGTTGTGGCATGTGTCAAAATTTTTCTTCCTTTTTAAGGCCGAATTACGTTGCACTGTATGTATATACACCATTTTATTTATCCATTCTTATGTTGGTGGACACTTGGGTTGCTTTCACCTTTTGGCTATTGTGAATAATACTGCTGTGAACAAAGATGTATAAATATATCTTTGAGACCCTGCTTTCAGTTCTTTTTGATATACCCAGAAATGGAATTCCTAGATCATATGGTAGTTCTATATTTAATATTTTTTTAGGAACCTCCATACCGTTTAACATAGTGGCTGCACCATTTAACATTCCCACCAACACTGCACAGAGATTCCAAATTCTCTGCATCCTCACCAACACTTACTTTCTGGTTTTTGCTTTTTTTTAAATAGTAGTCAACGTAATGGGTGTGAGATGATATCTCATTGTGTTTTCAATTTGTGTTATCCTAATGATTAGTGATGTAGAACATCTTTTCATGTGTTTACTGGCCATTTGTATATCTCTTTTGGAGAAATGTCTATTCATATCCTTTACCCAGTTTTAAATCAGTTTTGCTGTTGATTATATCTTTAGCTTGAAGTATTTTTAAAGAACTTATTTAGTATAAAGATGTTATATTAGTAATCATGAAAATACAAATTACAATTCCAGTGATATACAATATTTACCCATTATGTCAATTTTTGGCAAGAATGTGGAGAAACATAATTTCCTACATAGATGGGTAGAAGTATAAATTGTTACAGCTACTTTGGAGGGCAAGTGGGCTCTATCCATTTTGATTTTAAATGTTTCTGCCCTATGATCTAACAATTCCATTTCTATAGAAATGCTCTCACAGGTATACAAGGAGATATGTACATAGCTGTTCATTGTAACATTGTTTTTAATTGGAAAAAAACCCTTTAAGTCTACCAATAGCATAATTAATAAAATATGAGTGAGGTTGATATATATGTACTGTCACGGATAGATCTAACATGGTTGAATAAAAAAAGCAAATTGCAGAATGATACAATTGATCTGATACCATTTGTGTTAAAGCAGAGAGCAATATTATGTTTTCTGTGAAGATATATATATACACACACACACACACACACATATACACACACGTACATACATACATATATGTATATATATGTACGTATGTGTGTATGTATATGAATAAATTCAGAAAGATCTAGAAATGGTAATAGTGGCTGCATGGATGGACTGGGGTTGGTCCTTACAACCCTGTAATTTTTTTCATTTCATAAGGGAAATGGATTCATGTGTTACCTGGTATTTTTAAACACATTTTAAAAAGAAATTCAAAGTGATATAGCTAAACAAATATGAAGAGTTTGGCCTAAAGTTTGAGAAGCAGTTTGGTGGAGTGAGCGCTGTGTTCTTAGCTTTGCAGACCCAGAAATTGAATTTTAACAGTGTAGCCAGAATTTATCTAGCTCCGAAGAGTTTGTGCACACTCACCAAACCATAAAAATTCATGGATGTTGGTAACCAAGGGGCTAATCTATTAATTCATTAATTCATATTATACTGCCAGGGAGACTAAAATAATCATATCTACTAATCAGTATACCCTATCCCATTATGAGAAAATCTAAAAGATTATTGTTAGAAGTGTTTTATTGTGAGTATAGAATTAGAGCAAGGGAGTTAGATTATTATATTGGCTGTTTTTAAATTATAGTCATTTTATACAAGCCAGTGTCCATTATAGGGTTACCTGCTGAGGAGACCTAAAGGCTTGCATCTGATGGTTAGCATCTTTTCCTTGGACGTAGTCAGATTTTTTTGTATTTCCACAAGTACGGTTATATCACGTCAGAAAGATGTAATACAAATGAGTTAGTCAGTTTCTTTACCTTAGCAACTCCAATGCTGTCTTCTTAAGCATACCGTGGTCTTATCATAGAGAATAGAGAAATGTGATGTTTATCAGTAAACATTTATGAACCTTTTAGAATTGACATTTTGTATTGGCTTTTTTTTAAATTTCAGAGTTTTTAATGTAATATTTTGTAGCATGGTTAAATATTTTTTCTTTTATTTAATTTTTCAATTACAGTTGACCCTGAGTATCATTTTATATTGGTTTCAGGTGTACAGCATAGTGGTTAGACATTTCTATAATTTATGAAGTGATTCCCTTGATAAGTCTAGTACTCTATGGCATCATACATAGTTATTACCATATTACTGTTTTCTTTATGCTGTACTTTACATCCCCGTGACTATTTTGTAACTATCAGTTTGTTCTTAATCCTTTCTCTTTTTTCACCTAGCCCCTCAATCCCCCATCCCATCCATCAACCATCAATTTGTTCTCTGTATCTACGAGTCCATTTCTGTTTTGTTTGTTTATTTTGTTCTTAGATTCCACATATAAGTGAAGTCGTATGGTATTTGTCATTTTCTGTCTGACTTCTTTTACTTAGCATAGTTTCCTCTAGGTCTGTTTATGTTGTTGCAAATGGTAAGATTTCATTCTTATGGTCAGGTAATATTCCATTATATATTTCTACCACATCTTTATCCAATTGTCCATTGATGGACACTTAGGCTGCTTCCATATCTTGGCTGTTGTAAATAATGTGGGTTCTATGTGCACTTGAAAAGAATGTATATGCTGTTGCTTTGGGATGAAATGCTCTAAAAATAGCTGTTAAATCCATCTGGTCTAATGTGTCATTTAAGGCTTGTGTTTCCTTGTCGATTTTCTGTCTGGAAGATCTGTCCATTGATTGATAACAATGAGGTCTTAAAGTCACCTTCTATGACTATATTACTGTTAATCTCTTCCTTTAGCCCATCAATATTTGCTTTATATATGTAAGTGCTCCTGTGTTGAGTGCATAACTATTTACAAGGGTTGTATCCTGTTGGATTGATCCCTTTATCATTATTAAATGTCCTTCTTTGTCTTATTATAGTCTTTGTTTTAAAGTCTATTTTGTCTGATATAAATATTGCTACCCTTGCTTTTTTGTTTTCATTTGCATAACATACTTTTTTCCATCTCTTTACTTTTAGTCTATGTGTCTTTTGATCTGAAATGGGTCTCATGTAGGCAACATATATATAGGTCTTATTTTCTTATCCACTCAGCTACCCTATGTTTTTTCATTGGGGAATTTAATCCATTTACATTTAAAGTGATTATAGATAGGTATATAGTTATTGCCATCTTATTATTCATATTTGTCTTCTTTTTTTTCCCCTTCTTCTTGAAGTCTTTTTAACATTTCTCGTAATACTGGTATGATGATAATGAACTCCTTTAGCTTTTTCTTGTCTGGAATTGTATTGGGTTTCATTGCAGTTTTAGAGCACTATCTTATCCTGATCTAGTTTCCTCCAAATTGAGAGTATACTTTATTTGGAGCTTGCCTCAGTTACATAAGACGATTTTAATTCTCATAAATGCATTCTTTTTTTCATTAGCTCTGAACAGATTAAAATGTTGACAGTATGGGAGATTTTCTATCCTAAAGGACTAAAATGTAGGTTTATTAGTTAAGACATTATACACTTTATAAGTACAGTGTATAATTAAGATTACAGGCAGCTTTAGGTTTGAATCCTGGCTCCACCATTTACCACTTTCCTTAGGCAAATCACTTAACCTACCTAAACATGGGCTTTCTCATCTTTACAAAATGCCTAATTTTCAAGATAAAAATTTACCGTTAAGATTATTTTCTTGATAACTTACATTTTCATGGACTACTTTTTATTCAGCTAAACATGAATTCAGCTCCAACTTTCATCAACTTTCCTGCAAAAGGGAAACCTAAACGGGGTGATACATATGAGTTACAGGTGCGTGGTTTTTCAGCTGAGCAGATCGCCCGGTGGATTGCTGACAGAACTGATGTCAATGTAAGTTTCCCTGCTTTGTAGAAAGTTACTTTGCCATTATCCCTTTTGAATCTTACAGAGAGGTCCTAATTGGTCTTGTCCCCATATCACTGAGATGATAATAGTTGGATAGTCCCTTTATAAGTAACATATAACAGAATCATTGTGCTGAAAGAGTGCGATTATAAAACATCCTCTATTGCCTTATTGAATTCAGCGTGGAAACCACTCTTTTGACTTTATTAAGTCCAGGGACTCTTTAGTTGTACTTGGCAAATATTTCTTAATCTAAAAGATGTTACGTTGTGGTTAAACAGAATATTGTACCTATTCCATCCTGATTTTAGGATACATCGTAGACTCTTTTGATTAGGATGAAAATAAAAAGTATGATTTTTTTCCTGAAAGTAATCATCACACTGATTTTGGTTGCTTTCATTTCAAATTATTTTGACCTATATAATTAATTAATAAATTTCATACTTTAAAATGTTTTTCTCTCCATTAGATTAGAGTAATCAGACCCCCAAATTACGCTGGTCCTCTTATGTTGGGATTGCTTTTGGCTGTTATTGGTGGACTTGTGTATCTTCGAAGAAGCAATATGGAATTTCTCTTTAATAAAACTGGATGGGCTTTTGCAGCTTTGGTGAGTGAATTTTAGAAGAAAATTGTTTGAATAAAACTCCTAATATTGTGAAGTAGCATTTTGTTTATTTCTTAATAGTGGAAAAGGATTTTATATATTTTTTTTATTTTTTGCCTTAAAATCAGTTTGTTTCTTCCATTATCTCATTAGCATGGCCAGACCTTGGAGGATCTAATTGTACCCAGTTTTTGTTCAACCTAAATATAGATTGTCATCCCTATGAAAATCTGCAGTTCTTTTGAAAATATTCTTGTAAAAGACTTTTCAGTATTCAATTTTGAAACTTGTGTCAGCTTATTTATAATTTTAAAATTTTTAAATAATTTTCCTTTCAAAGTAAATATTATTGATTCTTGTGATCCTTGTAGTGAAATATAAGCCTTAATCAAGAAATCGCTCATATAGAGAATATAAAACTGAAAGCAACAAATGAACAAGACAAAATCTCATACACACAGGGAGGAGTTGAGGGGTTAGCAGGGGGGAAGAGGAAGGGGGGAAGGGGGATAAGGGTAGAGAGGGTCAAATATACGGCTATGGAAGGAGATTTGACTTTGGGTGGTGAACATACAATGCAATATACAGATGATGTATTATTGAATTGTATACTTGAAACCTATGTTATTTTATTAACCAATGTCACCCCAGTAAATTTAAATAAAAAAAGAAATCATTTATCTGAAAAAAATTGTTCTTCATGTATTGTTTAAGCACGTGCACTTTTCATATACCTACCACGTTAATCAAGGTGGGGATGGACAGCTTCACCATGTTATGTGAGTATTTCATTATTTTTTGTTTCCCAGTGTTTTGTGCTTGCTATGACATCTGGTCAAATGTGGAATCATATAAGAGGACCACCGTATGCTCATAAGAATCCCCACACAGGACATGTGGTAAGAGAAGTCCAGGATTCCTTTCCATTGTATACCAAAGTTAATCTTAATGATTATCCTGTGAGACCAGTGCCAGTATATGAAGGAATTAGATTTAGTTTTGAATTTTCAATCTTTCTATTAACGAGCTTCAACTTTTGAAAACAAGATTCAGTTCTCTTAAAGCTGAGAAGTTCCTTATCCCATCTGGTGAGTCCTTTTGACTAACCAGGCTAAGAATGAAAGTTAGCCTTCAGCTAAATATATTAATCATGTACTTGTATATCTACTGTTTCTAGGCATTGTGCTAGGCGTTATTAAATATAGTAATAAACAAAGACATAGCCTCTGTCTTCATGGAGTTTACATTATTGTACCTTATGGTCTTATACTCAGAAATACTAGTTTTCTCATATACTCTGTTGTTGAAAAAATAATGTAACTACAGTGAAGAGACAAAAACACAGAAATAGCTTTTATTTTAGCCAAATTTATTTACTGATGACTACCACAGACCCAATGCTTACATATATAAGGTGAATTAATAATTCATAGGGTTTGAAAATTGCCCATTTTAGAATTAGGATGCCAAAATTTAATGTATATTTAAAGATTTAATTCCGTCTTTTTTCCTCCCCAGAATTATATCCATGGAAGCAGCCAAGCCCAGTTTGTAGCTGAAACACACATTGTTCTTCTGTTTAGTATCCTCTCTATAATAAGTCCTTGGTGCTGTGTTTTAATTTATTTTATTTAATTAATTTTTTGTTGTTGTTCTAGTATTCTCTCTATATTTGGTTGAGGCTGCTCTCTTATGCAAGTCATAATATCTTTGGAATCATATTACTATGTTATCTATCTTAATCAGCTAAAGACCACCAGAGACAAACCTGCAGTCTGATAAAGCCAGGTTTATTGGATCTTGCTACAAAGGAGATTGCATATCAGAGAAACCAAGGCACATATCTTACCTAAGGAAAGACAGAGTTGTTCTAGGATTTGGGGGAAGGGTGGGGGTTAGGTGTAATGTAAATAAAGCAGTGTTTTGATAAGCTAAAAGCAAAACCAGGCTAAGTATAAAGGGGTCAGCATCAGTTCTGGACTATGAAATGGACAGGGTTCTGTTTCCTGGAAACTACAAACTTTAGATAAATGTGGGATTTTGTCTTGAGAAACTCCTTATTTGAAGCTCTGTACTTTGGTTGTAAATTGAGGCTGTTTAGAAATTGTAAATTGAGTGTCTTAGATCCTTCCAGTCAAGAATGGAATGTCTAATTGAGCAAGTCTCTGATTTTAGAGAAGGGTATTCTTCATTGAGTAAGAAAACAATAGTTTTAAGTATAAAGAAAAATCAAAATCCCTGGAAACACCACCTTTAGTAAATGTGCATATCTTTCCCCATTTTATTTTACTATGTCAGTGATTTAATAGAGATATTTTAAGGGGAACATTCTGAAAAAAATTAAGCTTTTGGTTTCAATTGAAGGACATTTGGGAAAATATTTTCTGAAAACAATGTTCTTATATAATATCAAAAATAAATTTACTGCTTAAAATTCAGCCTGGAGTCAGGAGACTTAATCTATTCAGCCATGGAATGGTGAGCTGAAAAGATTAATAATAAACACCTATTCCCTATGATAAGAAAGAAAATTGCAAGAAAAATATTACCCAAACCTTATTTTTTTTTCAAATTCTAATATTTATTTTTATTTAATTTATTTAAACTAAAAAACAAAAAACAGTTCACCCATTTCTCCCACTTCCCACTCTTACCTTAGGCAACCACCAATCTGTCCACTATATCTGTGAGCTTGGTTCTTTATATACATATATTTAGATTTCACATTTAAGAGAGAGCATATGGTATTTGTATTTCTCTGTCTGACCTATTTAAAATTATTTAAAAGTTTAAGTTGAAAATGTTTATAGCTTAGTGAATTAATTTATTATACCTTGGAAAATTTTCAGTTTCTGGAAATGGTCTTAATTGTACTTTGAAATTGAACAGTGGAGCAAAAGGACAGTTAAAATTGTAACATGTTAATTGATTGATTTGTAAATTGTTGGTTATTTAGCTTTGTCCTAAATTTTTAAATATAATTATACAAGTTTAAAAAATGGGAATTTTCTTCCTTCTTCCTTCTGCCTAAAGGTTAAACATTAGATTAAGGTTTCACATACATTTAGAACAGATTTTAAGCCTGTTGGAATATAGGATTTCTTGTAAATGTGGTTAATAGGATGCAAAATAGAAATATTTTTCAAGGTGATTTTTTTCCCTATTTTGTTTTTGCTTTTTTCATAGTGGTTGGGAAGATAATATTTTCTGAGCAATTATTTTGCCAAATGCTATGAATGCATGATTTATCTACAGAGCTTATAGTACTGGGACAAACGGACACATGTACCAATTACAAGGAAGCACCTTAAGTACTGTGCACTCAGTATGGTCATAATTAATAAAGCTATTTAACTTTGTTAGAGGTAGGGAACTTTACAGAAGACTTAAAACCCCCTTTTATTAGGGGACACAATGCCTAAAGACTCAAAACTCAAAGTTTGATAAGAATTTTGATAGAAATGTTGATAAGAATTAATATAATGAAATTATTACTAAGTAGTTATGATTTTGGAAAATATCTACATATTTACCATTTTTTAATACTGTTTAATACAATTTTTTAATACTGTTTAATACAATTTACTGAGAGATTTATAAAGTAAACTAGATGATAAATTGTCTTATCTAAGCAACTTTTAATACAAATTAGTAGTTGATAGATGGTCATGGTGATAGGGAGCACAGCATAGGGAATGCAGTTAGCATTAAGATAATGGCTAGGTGGAGAGCCAGAGGAAAGAAAAAGCAATTAGGGGGATCATTTTATAAACTATATAAATGTCTAACCAGTGCACTGTATACTTGAAACTAATAAAATAAATTTAAAAAATAATGACACCAAAAATTATATTTTAAACTTTTTTTATTTGAAATATTGTATCCATGCAAAAAAGTTCACAATTTATAAGTATACAGTTTGATGAATTTTCACAAAAGGAACACAACTGTGTAACCATCCCAGAGCATCAGTAAATTAATACACATGGAATTGCATCATAGCTCTTGATAGGTGAGAACAGCACACAAAAACCTTGGTGGTATGTTAGGAGATGGAAACCTCATTCAAAGAAAAAGCACACAGACCATGATACAGAAACAAACCGTTCCAAAAGCAAGTCTCAGCCTTTAATCAGAGTACCCTGTAACCAAAGCCTATAGAAATAATCAATTTTTACATGTACCTAGATATAAAGGATCTCAATACGAAAAAAATAATCTCTGGAGAAAAAGACTTGGCTAAGCAACTAAAAACATGATGAATGGGCATCATCCCTAATAAGAGGCTATTGAAGAGAGAGAGAGTGCAAGATGGTAATGAAGGGATGAATAGACAAATTATAGAGCCAATTATAAATTCAGGCCTTATCTGAACACTATATTTCCCTTTCTGTTTAATTATACCCACATGTGGTAGCATACGTTGTGCATGTATGTATGCATAATTAATTTGGGCATTTTTACCTGCTGTTTGTGTTCACCAAACTGCAGGGTGAATCTCTCTTTTCTACTAGAATACATTCTATTTGCTTTAAAATTTGATTTTGCTTATTTTAGCATTCAACCCATACCACGTGTTACCTATTTGCTTGAGTAGGTCTATTTTCTATTTACATAGCTTCTATATTAAGCTGAATAAAAGTGAGCTTTTGGCATGTGGGATTTTCTTTTTTTATTAGATAAGGATGAAATTAGATAGTTTAGTAATTTGTACTTTAAAAGTTAATTGTTGAAATTCTGGAGAATTTTTCAGAAGTTATTTTTCAAATAAAAATTTGTTGCTATTCTTGCTAAATGGTGCCTATTTCAAGTGTGTGCTTTTTTGGAGGATGGTCGAAATATTCAAAATGTCTATTTAATATTTTTAAATGTATATGAGGTTGGAACAAAAGTTGGAAGACTGTCCAGGAAGATTATTTCAAAGTACAATATCATGAAAACTCACTTCATCTATAAGTTATACTGAGACATTTGTTTAAAATGTCAATTTTTATTTGTACAAATGAAGTAATTTTCCCACCTTAGTATTTTTTATTATATCTTTATAGTAAATAATTGTCATGCTATATAGATACAAGCTTATTTAAAGTGTTTTGTAGTTAAAAGTTGTAGTTTCATATATTCATTTTAAATTTTTTAATGAAAGATTAGGAATAGTACAGTGTGGTATGTCTTTTGTGTCTGTGTGAATTTCTCCTTAAACAATTTTTCTAAGATGGTGGGGTTACCTTAGGGATGGTGCTTTTATGTGAAGCTGCTACATCTGACATGGATCTTGGAAAACGAAAGAGTAAGTCATATCATATGCCAAAATTTAACAATTCTTCCTTCAATACAGAAAAAAAGAATGTATTCTTAATCACTTCCCCCCCTTGGTTATAAGTATGTTATTTTACTTCTTTACTATTATAAAAGCAATATGTGCTAATTGTAGAAAACATGGGGGAAAATAGGAGTATGACACATTTGGGGGTAGAGTTACCCATTCCATCATTATAAAAACTAATAATTTTAATATTGTAATATAGTTCTTTCCATTTGCAAAAACATCTTTAAAACTGTAGTATAAAATTTTGAATTTTGTACTCCCTTTTGAACTGGAGTTAAATAATTCACTAATAAATATTTTCCTCTACATAATTTTAAATTTGTACTCTATACTGTTATTTACTTAATCGTTCTGATTTTAAGCATTTAACTTTTTTCTAACTTTCATTATAATAAATAGTTCTTTAGTGACTATCATAGTATATTAAGCTATCCTCATTTCATATTAATTTCTTAGACTCCTAGAAATAGAATGGCTGTGTGGTCCTGTGTATGAGTATTTTCAGTTCTCTTGATGTTTTAAACTGATGATGCCAAATTTTTTCCCCAAATGTCATTAATAATTTAGATTTCTACTAGTAATATTTATGAACACTTGTTTCACTGTAACTTTATCAGCAATAGGTAACCTCATTCATTAAAAATGTGTGTGTGTGTTGTCTAATCAGATAAGGGGTAAATCTTATTTTGTATTTCTTTGGTTATTAGTGAAGTTGAATATTTTCCTAAATGTTTATTAGCAGTGTTGTGCTTTTTCTTCTGTGAAATATCTTTTTATCTTTTGCCATTTATCTGTTAGAGTCTTAGTCCTTTTTCTATTGGTTTGTATGGACTTTTTATGTATTAGAATATTCACACATTGGTATTTGTTACAAAGAAATGCTAACAATGTAATTTTATTTTACTTATATGAAATCTGTATAAGTCAGAGTTTTCCTTTGATGATTAAAAAGTTAAATGTCATCAAAATTAACCTAGCTAAATATATTTACTTTTTCTTGTAGAAAAAAGGATGATGACATTGGATTTCAAATTTGGGAGATATTTATTTTGCTGAATTAAAATGAAATTTTACATATTAGAAAAACATAACACGTATCAGTTTTTTGTTCAGTCAATATACATCGTTTAATTGTCTGACTTTAAAAATTACCTATTTCAGTATTCATGATTAGGGTACTACACTGTTGGCATGAATTTAAATTGTAAAATATTTTGGTGACATAGTGAAATAATCACAATCTGATCTACTTCTAAGATTCTAACCTAATGAAATAATCACAAATAATAAACATTCCTTTAGCGCTTACTATGTACCAGGAACTGCCCTATTTTTAGATATGTGAAAAAAGTAGAATACAAATGTATACAGAGTGATACTGTATAAATACTTTATGTGTACATTTAATTAGGAAAAAAACTTCTACAACGAGCATGTATTAATATTCGGAAAAAATATTTTTAATGTTTACATTTTAGCCTCTAATCATATTGTGTGGAAATTAAAAAAGGGGAAAGAATTGTTCCCTAAATAAAATAAAACTAAAATTTACTTTTAGTATTGACCAATAAGTATGTTACACTAGCACTTACATTGCTGTAGCACACATGCTTTCCAACATCCCTGCCTTTATACTTCTTAGTCTTAGTCCAGGGACTCAAAGAGTCTCAAGTTATGGACATCATCTTTGAACGTTGTAGGGTCAGTATCTAGAGTTAAAGTCATTAACTGCTATGCTAAACCAGAGCATATGAGATTAATGGAGAAAGCTATGAATTTAGGGCCAAGAATTGTGTTTTTTTCCCTCCATTATTCAAATGAGGAATCCGTGTTTAATGAGTTCCTCATATAGACAGTGAAGTTACCTATGCATGAATAAAATACTTTCAAATGAGGCTGTCACTATGATGTCATCAGATATCTTTAAGTCAATATTTATCAATAAAACATTAAGGCCACTTTTAAGGATTTGAAAGAAGTTTAATAAGTGATTGAATGATTTTCTTGCCAGTAGTAAAAGTGTTTCTAACACTGAATTCTTGACTGTCATGGCTTTAAATGGAATTCATTATTTCATACAATTAAATTAACACAACTCTGTAAATGAAGCTACCCTTTTGTAATGGAATAAATTAAAGGAGAAGACAGACTCTTGAATATATAAGAATGAGGATAAAAATTGTTGGTTGGCAAATTGAGATTTACCAGTTAATTATAGTCCTTGTTTTTCACTCTTGGACTAAAATTTATGCCCTGGTCCTTTATTACACTTAACATGCTAATACTAATCATTTTACTCTCCTTTTGTTTTTCTGCAGTAATGTGTGTAGCTGGTATTGGACTTGTTGTATTATTCTTCAGTTGGATGCTTTCTATTTTCAGATCTAAATATCATGGATATCCATATAGGTATGATTGCTTCATATTTATATAGCGATGGCCTATATTTATAATGATTACAGTTGATGTTGCTTTATAATATTTTCTTTTCTTTTTTTGCTTTACCTCTAGACTATTCTAGCTTCTAAAGTAAAGAAATAGGCTTTGATTCCATTTAGGCATGTTGCACATAAAAATTAATATAAGATAATAATGGTATAATGGACAATAAATAGTATGTGATTTCTCAGGAACATCTTTCAGAGTTATTCTGACATCACCCTTTTCTCACTTCTACTTTTAAAGGCTCTTTAGATGGCACAAACATAATGTCTGATTAAAATCCAGTTTGTAGAGAGTATAACAAAGTTTAAGAAGGTCTGATTGGCTTGAAATGTTTGTAGAAATCTCTAAGGCTCAAAGAGGAAATTATTCTCCTGGTTATAAGTTTTTGATTTTACTCTGTTAATAGCCAAGAGAAATGTACCTACGTAATGGAGGATGTTGTGAGTTAGTTTTATAACCTGAGTAACAGTTACTATAATTCCTATTCTTTTACTATAATGTTGTCCTGTTGTATAAAGGGTTATGAACACTAACAGTAAAGTATGTCAGGTAATATTTTTGAGACACAAATTCATTTTTCATATTTTTAACAAGTTTTCAGTAGATAATTTTGAATATCTCCCTAGCTGATTTATTACATTGTGACATTCCTAGATGTCTTTTGATCAATGAACAACATAAATTAATCTTTTTTTGCATTTTTTTCTTGCAAATTTATTTAAGACCAAAACCTACTAAAACTTTGATTCTTGACATAATCTTCCAAATTTATACTTTTATTCTTCTGTGTAAGTATATTTTAAAATATTTTCTCCTTTGTAGAATACTAACTGAGATGCAAGGATAATGTTGCTGAGACTTCTGTTACTTTTTGATCACTGTGATTGAGTCAATTTTTAATTGGTGTTTGTCTTCAGGAGATATTTTAACTCGAAGTTACATCTATTTCCTTTTTTCCTAAGACTACTTAGTCTCTCTGGGTTTCTTTTTGTTATTGATACTCCAAGTTTATTATACATGCACCCAAGCACTCTGTGATCTGTTAAAATCAAGTATTTATTTCAAGTAAAGCCTACTTTTCTTTCAGAGAGTAATAGATTGATATATATTTTTGTTTCAGCTTTCTGATGAGCTAAAAGGATTACAGAGATATAGACACTGGATTAACAGAAGCCGAAAAATGAAAAAGTTGTGTGTGTGAAAAGAAGAATACAATTTGTGTATTTTGTATTACCTCTTTTTTTCAAGTGGTTTAAATAGTTAATCATTTAACCAAAGAAGATGTGTAGTGCCTTAACAGCAATTTCCTGTCAAAATCATGAAGTATTTGTATACAATTCTCTTTATCTTCAGTTCCTAGTGAACTTTATGGAACATTTAATTTAGTAGTATTAAATATAATATAAAAATTTAAAAACTACTTCAGTTTAATTAGAACAAGATTCAAAACTGCTTTAATTAATTTCTGGCCATCTGATTTTTTTATTATCTTATCCAGAGGTGGGGGGAGGACAGTTCCGACCAGGTGTTCCTGCATATGCCTGTTACAGATCAATTGAATCAGGAATCCATTCTTAGCTTTTCCATTTTGCATGGATATGTATACGTTGCACATCTTACCTTTTGAATAGAGAAATCATATGTGCTGTGTGGTCTAATGCAGGTGGAACACCATTCTTCAGAGTACACGTCTAGCCTTTAAAAAAAAAGACTAGCCAATCCTCCTCCTCCTCCATCTTTCCTACTGATATACAATGCTAGCTATGCTTCTTGGTAGCTGTGGATGTTAAAAAGTATCTCAACACAGGATTATCATTTCTGCATGAGTGGTAATTACCTTGTATTTAGGAAGATTTCAGGTTCTGTCGTCTCTCTAGTTTTATTTAAGGCAGACCATTTTATAATAAAAATGTAGCTTAGTGATAAAATCAGTGTAACTTAAAAATGCTCTAAAATGTTTCTGCAAATTAGAGATTGTCGCTTATTTCATTTGCACCTAAGAGAAAAAGATAGGTTCATCTGGTTAAGTTGATTTCTGTATTACGGTTACGACATATTTCATTAACCTTTGTGTTTAGGAAAAGGACCTTCCCTAGATTGGGAAAAGAAAATCATGAAGTTATTGCCTATCATTAGAAAGTAAATGTTTCTCAAAAGCTATTCTATTATTTTAGCCTTCATTCTCTCACTTTAAGTGGAGAAACAAAATAAACATTTGAATAGGTTTTGTTTCAGTTTTGTCTTTTTATTCTGTCAATGGAAATAACCTTTGTTGTTTTATATATGCAAATAACCTAAATATATACTAACCAAATTTCTGTGAAGAATGAAAGTTGATGGTTATCATCAAATCTAGCTATAACCTCCTCCATAGTTATGAAGAGTATCCTGAAATGCCACTATTAGGAAATACAAGAACTGTGATTGTGAAAAAAAAATTAAGAAAGTATTGCATTAAAATAATACTGTGACTGCCTGCTACTATTTACCATCTAATAACTCTTCCATGTGATCTAGAAATTTGCAGAAAGAAATGGATATAATTGTCTAAAAAGAAATGTTTTATGTGAGTTTTTTTGTTTTGGTTTGGTTTTTGGTTTTGTTTTTTGTTTTTTGCTTGTTTTTGTTATTAGGTTTGGTAGATGGGGGGATACAGTTGACTTTTTACTCTTTGATGGAGCCACTTTTTGTTAATTACTCCGTGTAAATTGTGATTCTGGATTCCTTATCTGCTATTCTTGTACTTGTCTCAGGCCAAATAAATTCATGCTGTCATTCTTATGAGACTTGTATGAAGATACTCTGATTTGTATGGACTGACCAGGGGAATACTACTGCCATGTAATCTGTATAGCTCCAGATAATTTGCCATGAGCATTGAAAGAATGACAGTTTTGTTTTGTTTTGTTTTGCATTTGTTTTTGTCTCCCTTAAGAGCACATTTTTCTTCTGTAAGGAGAAAAGTTGCATTCTGGCTAAAATCTATAAAAAGCAAATTTACTACACTTAGAATAGTGTTACCTTTGTGGAAATTTTGAAATTAGCTTTCATACAAAGTGCCTTAAGTAGACTCTTACTTTTCTAGTAATTGTTTGAATATTATTTGTTATGCATTTTAAAATACTATTCAAAATGATGCATTATAGTGGCAAAGATAACCAAATATCTGGCTGTTCGCTTTTTGACCATATCAATAAACTTTTTCAATCTAAATTCTGAGTTTTTGATTAACATCTAAAGAGGGGTGAATTTAAAACACTAAACTAGAATCGTAATATTGAGATATTCCATTTCGAAATTATAGTTAAATTTCTTATTGTCCTAATGACAGTCAATTTGATAGGCCAGTTTCCTTAAGTATTTTTAGATTAAGACATATTCTTCCAGAATTCCATGTTATCCTTCATTAATGCTGTGACCCATTAGATTAGGCAAAACAGCCAAGATAAGTAGATGAATGGCTGTTTTCAATGATTGATTTTGCTTTTGTCCCAGTCAGTGAACACTGTGACTATGTAATTCCCTTTTGGTATTAAATAATTGATTTGAAACAGTTACCCCGACAGATTATCAAGTTAATTGAGACAGGACAACAGTACATTTGCAACATGGAATAGAAACACTGTACTGGAAGTAGAGCTTTGGCTTTTAAATAGCTTTTAGTCCTTACTCTGTTTCTGTCTAGGTATGTGACCATAGGCAAGTCACGTGAACCTCTCTGGACCTGTTTCTTTGTTCTAATGTGAGTGTAGTGGACTAAATCACCTCCGTGGTCCTGCCAGGACCACTGTTCTATGATGCAAAATATTAAAAATGTGTTTAAATTTTGAATAGATATCATTTGTGATATTCAGGTTTGGTGTCGAATTAAATAATTGAAACGTAGGATGTTTTGCAGTCAGATTTCTGAGGAAGCCATGAAATTCTTGTGGAGGCCATTATAGTTGCAAATTGTTTAATAGGCTTTGAAATACATTTTAGCAAGGATCCACTTGGAACCAATATGTTAATATCAGATCTTGATTTAAATGAGTTCTGCTCAGTTGTAAGCATGGATGAGATCAACGACTATAATAGTATGCTAATATTATAGAAAGTTAAAGCTAAAGGGACTTTAATACCATTTAATCAGCCCCTTCATTTTGACTGCGAAAGAAAACCTGCCCCAAAGAAGTGAAGTAATTTATAACAAATTACTCCAAGGAAATGCCTACCAGTTTCCCATTTTACTGCAAATTCCCTATGGAATAGGTTTCACTTGGAGCTACAAATTACTCCCTGGAGACATGGAAACCATAGTTAATCTACGCTGATTGCTTCCTGACATTTAAATTGCTGGGAGAGTTTCCTAATGAGCGAGGTATTATACCAGAGGGGCTGATGCAGCTTTCAGAAGAAGGGTGGAATTTCTGGAATGACTCCCTTTAATCTGTGAAAGTGGAATTTAGGCGGGGAGAAAGAAAGGTTTTTATTTAGAAGGGAAGTGGGGACAATAGCCAGGAATTTTTTATCTGTACATTCCTTTCTGTGTTCTCAACTTTTCCTAGGTGTAATTAGGAGACAAAATACCAATGACTGTCAATCATAAGAGAAATGCAAATCGAAACCGCAATGAGATACCACCCCACACCCATTAGGATGGCTACTATTAAAAAAAAAAACAGGAAAGAAGTGTTGGCAAGGATATAGAGAAATTGGAACCCTTGTATGGTTCGGTGGTGGGAGTGTAAAATGGTACAGTCACTATGGAAAATAGTATGACGATTCCTCAAAAAATTAGAAATTACCATATGATCCAGCAATTCCATTTCTGGATACATATCCAAAAGAATTAGAAGGAGAATCTCAAAGAGACTTATATACCGATGTTCAAGGCAGCATTATTCGCAATAGCCAAAATGTAGAGCAATCAAATGTTCATTGATGGGTGAACAGAAAAACAATGTGGTAATACATACCATAGAATATTATTCAGCCTTAAAAAAAGGAAATTCTGGCATGCTACAACACGGAGGAACCTTGTTAGGACATTATGCTAAGTGAAATAATCCAGTCACAAACAGACAAAAACTGTGTGATTCCACTTATATGAGGCACGTACAAATACATAGAGACAGAAAGTAGAATGGTGGTTGCCAGGGCCTAGGGAAGGAGTAATAGAGAGTTATTGTTTAATGAATATAGAGTTTCAGTTTTGCAAGATGAATTCTGGAGGTTGGTTGCACAGCAGTATGAATAAACTTAACACTACTGAACTGTACATTTAAAAATTGTAAAGATGGTAAATTTTATGCATATTTACCACAATTCAAAATAAAAATAAATACTATAATAAATGCCTCAACCCCAACTCCATATTGGCATATCCTCACTGACACCACTTTGCATTTGATCATTGTCTTGAAAATATGAGTACAGCTGGATAGAGTGTGACTTGTGGAAATGTTGAAGCATGGTCTTCGGACTCTTGGGTGACACTTTAGGGACATTCCGATAAACCCTGCCTGCAGAATCAGCGATGATTAGTATATTTCAATGAGTGCGTTGTAAATAATGACTTTCAGCTGGGAAAAATCTTATTAGGATGTGTTGGCTCTACCCAACATCCACACTTAGAAATGATCCATTTGGTCTGAACCTTCCAGTTTATAATACCTGGCTGTGGCTGTATGGCTAGCAAATGCAGCTAGAGACCTGCTCTGAAGTTCTTTTTACGCCCTTCAAATAAATGTTTTCTCCCCCTCCAAACAGCTCAAACGTTATAATTTCTGGGAAGCTTTCCTGACCTCCCATTTTGGGTTCTACATCTTTCCTCTCTTTGGTGCATACTGATCTCTGTTATTCAATTTTGTAATTGCCCAGCTCCTCCCCTAAACTGTAAGTTCCTTGGGATCAGGGGTATTGTCTTACTTGTTTTTGTATGTTCATTTTCTAAAATGCCTGCATAGTACATGCTTAGTAAAGCTTCACTAATTGAATAAAGAAAAAGAGGTCTTTACTGTCAAGTTTCTTCCTGCCTTGTAGTAGAAATAAATATGTAAACAAATGCAATTCTTTGTGCTAGTAGGAAAGTATGTGTTATATCGTAGGTACAGAGAAGGATTTGATCACTCTATTAGGGTTGGGGTGGGAGAGAAAAGGAGAGGCTTCTGTGACAGGAATCAAAAATTTAAAAGATGATTAGTTCACAAGATAGATTTTTAAAGTATTGAAATGCCAAAATATTCTTATCAGTATCTTTTCAGTACTTTAAAAAAATCTGAAGTCATAGTCATTTACATCCTGAGTCATACTCAAAGAGGTCCATGTTAAAATTTCTAAATGAGAAAAATGCACCACTGTAATAACATTCTTACTACTCTTATCTACTTGTTTTAAAATTCTTCCAAGGTATCTAGTTTTGATTACTGATTCCCAAGTTATTAGTAATTCTGAGCATCTTTTCTTATATATATTTGACATTTGTATTTTATTTAGAACCATCTAATTACAAAGGCCTCCCATAGAATCTTAGCACTGAAGTGGCAGAACCTTAGGGAAACAGAGGATAGTAGAAAATTTTGAGGAAAAAAGAGGAAGGCAGGTTTCCAGGACCCCTGCAAAGCCAACTACTTATTTTCCTCTATGGTTAGATTTCTTCCTTTTTCCTTTCTTCTTTTCCTTCAAAGATCAAATTCATTCTGGCAATCCTGACCCCTCCTCACTCTTTAATCACTCTGTTTGGAAAGACTCAAGGCAGAATTACAAAGAATTCTTAATCCTGGTTCCTGGCCATTTTTCAGGTGTAACAACATCTGAGGATGACATGTACATAATTATGACAATTTTATCTCAGATTTTTATAAAATACCAAGGTTTTATAAATATACAAAATACTAAAATACCACTATAATAATTTGTGTATATACTATTTTGCTATAGTATTATACATATTAGGTTCAAGTCCCAACAGCTTATCAGAAGAAAGGAAGATGGAATTCCCTGAGAGTGAGTGACTAGTTCTGTCAAATGTTAATTCAAATTAAGATAATATTAGGAATAAATGTAATAAAAGATGTGTAAAACATACTGAAAACTACAAAACATTGTTGAGAGATATTAAAGGACACCGTAATTAAAAATATACCCTGTTAGGGGAGCATGGCATAGGGAATGCAGTTAGCATTAACATATTGGCTAGGTGGAAAACCAGAGGAGAGAAGGAGAAATTAAGGGGATCGTTTTATAAAGTATATAAATGTCTAACCAATGTACTATATACTTGAAACTAATTAAATAAATTTTTAAAAAGGACTATACCTCGTTAATAGATGTAAAATTTCAATATCATAAAACTGTCAACTTTTATGTCAATTCCAATAAAAATTCCAGCAGATTTTTTATGTGTATGTGTGAAGATTGAAATGCTGGTTTTAAAATTTACATGAAAATGTGAAGGGCCAAAAATAGCCAAGACAGAAAATGGAAGAGTAAACAACTTGGAGGGCCCATTCCCTCACAGAAACACTGAAAGAAAAATGAGTGAAAAATGTCAGAATAAACTTCGTTGGAACTCTGGAAAGTAGTCAAAAGTTTAAAGCAACCAAGTGAATGCTGAATCAAAAAAAAAAAAAAAAGGAAACAAGCATGGTAGGAGAGCTTTGTGGTATTTTAGCCTTGCCCCATACCCCCAACTTTGATGGGGAAGAGTCTTGGAAGATGGCAGTCTGTGTTCCCAGTGTGGGTAGCTGGTCCCAGAGGGAACAGAGCAGACCATGTTCTCAACAAATTTTATTTGTCTGTTCGATCCATCTGTGGTTTCTCTGAAGGAATGACACAAGGGGCTCGCCTTAGTTTCACCTGTCTCAGAAATCTTTTAGGCAGAAAAGCAGTCATGCACGAGATGTTCTCAAAAATACTGAAACACAAATGAACAAGCCACTACTCCCTGGGACAAAACATTGCAGTTGTGGCAAACAATAGATATGCCAAAAGTCTGGGAGGAAAAGCTGAGAAGAGACTTAGCTTTGGAAAACAAAGGCTTTATATATTCAGAATAGGATGCATGTTCAGAAAAGACTTGAGTTCTCTAAGCTTTCACCTTTGTCTGATATTTATGCTCAGTGCAAGCAAGAAGTGAAAGCTACATCAGAGTTGTAAACACTTGCTGAGTGTTAAGGAACTGTACCAACAAAGGGCCAGTCTACAGATTGAGATAGTACTTTTTTTTTTCC